GTGTACAAACCCGGCGGTTCCATTCCAAAGAGGCAAAAATTTCCTTCACCATGCAATGTCACGTCGAAACCCGTCATTTAACGTAATCTTTTAGTGCAACCGATCAACTTTGCAACTTAATGCAATCATGCGCCTCAAGAATATTCGGCTTGCCGGGATACACTTTGTAACAAACGACAGCTTGCCAATTAGACTCAAAATTTCCCGTTTTGTGCACTGTGTACAAGCTGCACAGCTATTTAGGAGCGCTGTTAACTCTTGCAGCCTGTCGTGCGATACTGACAATGTGAAGTTGCTACTGTCGATGGCTACGCCAAGAAACTCAACCACTGTAGCCGGTCCCACTAACTTTTTGTCGTTAATCGGCACACCGAGATACGAACAAACTGCTTGCACTTGTTTTACCATCCGCTCGCACGCTGTACCTGCCGGTTTTCCACACATGAAAAAATCATCGAGAAAATGTAGGAATGCGTCGGTGCCCATACACGTTTTAAAAATCCACTCTAGTACACCAGCGAATTTATTAAAGAGATATGGACCCGACCGAAGACCAAAAGAAATCACTGTATCATAGTAAAAGTTTCCCTCTCATTGATAGCCTAACAAATGCCAGTCCTCCTGCCTAAACGGTAAGATTCTGAAGGCACTTTCGACGTCGATTTTAGCCATAAGCGGGCCCCTTCCCTGCGGCATTACCATTTTTACCGCATCATCCACACCTACATATTTTAAAGAGTACTTATCTTTTTGGATATAGTCGTTGACACTGCATCCAAACGGCTGCGACAGATCCATGATGACGCGGTGTCTTAAAGGCCGTTTTGGACGCAGTCCGAGTGAGTTGGTGACAAAATCTAGAAGAGGCTCAGTACGAAACGGGCCTCTTGCGTGGTTTGCCTGCACTTCTTTGGCGATCATCGACGCTATAACATGTGGGTCATCAAGTGCAGAGCGAGCATTGCTGGTGAAACGCCGAAACTGCGGGCCAACGTAGCCAACCGCGAAACCAAACTTCAGGCCCTGCAAGAGGAAACAAACAGTTTCGCGATCATTATTGTGTACCAGTAGCTCAGCGAGTCTCTCGACGGAAACCGGTGTGGTCACTTCCGGGTTTTGCATTGTGACCGTTGCCATGCTTGTGCTGAGCTGCATCGTGTTCGGCGATGGTGTGGTCGGTGTAGCGGCATATTCCGCACTTGTGGCTGTAGGGGCTCCTCTAGTGCATCTCCCGTTATTCCAGTTCCTGCACAGGTCTGGCGGGATGTGTCGAAAGGGCCGATCCGACTTGATCTCCTGTCGACCTTGTGCTGAGAACTGGAGCTTCTTGGGACAGTCCTGCTCGGTGGTCCGCGATCACGCACTCGCGGCATAGCTGGAGGTGTGCGCGATGTGGGAGTCGAGCGACGCAGCGGTCCAGTAAGTTGCGGTCGAGCCGGTACCAGTCGTCGTGGTTTGTGTCGCGGGTGCGGCCGGCACGGAAGGTTTTATCGTATTCTAGCCACACTGCCACCGTATACGTGCCCGCCAGGTCGGTGATGGTAGCCTGGTCTAACGGATCCCTAAGCTCAGGATGGTAATGACTGCGTACACGACGAAACACAATGAACGCTTCACACCACAAGGTAAAGGATGTAATGGTGACCTTTCGCGGTTTAGAATCAGACAGTACAAAATTACTATCTCTGATCTCGATCTTAGCTTCGCCCTTGATTGGTGACATAATGCTATTCGGCCGCAACAGCTTGTCTAAATCAACGTTAACCGTAAGGTCATAAAGTTCTTCCAGACATTTATTACTAACAAGGGGAAACCCAGTCGGTAGTGGTGGTGGTTTCTTACTGTTTGTGGCTCCTGTGCTTGTGCCCGCGGACGTCGATGGTGATGGATCGTTGACCTTTTGTGTCAGCTGGGTGAGGTGACTCTGCTGGGAGAGCATCAACTGAATAAGCATACCGGTTTCCGTTGGCTGGAACTGGACGGCCGTTGGAGGCGTGGAAGGACCCGGTAAAAGCTGTATCTCTGGGTTCCTCTGTGCCAGCAGTGACTGCAAATGCTGTCTGGCCGCGGTAACCTGGGCATCGATGCTGACTGTGCTTCCCGTGCTTACCGTGGCGTTGCTGTTAGCAACGCCACGGTAAGTTGGGAATCAGAGTTGGGAATCATCTGCGCCCGTGGACGAACCCTTGCTGGTCGCTTTGCCGGTGGTTGGGGAGCGTTGGCGTTGGTTCTTCTGCCCCGTCTTCCCGACATTGTGATGTTGAACAGCAGATGAACTCCCGATCAATCCCACGCTTCCAGCAGTTGAAAGGTCACATTCAACATTAACGGTTGCAAAAATTATATTCGATCCGACACGCGTGCAAAACCAAATGAAATGACAGCCATCACTTAACGCACAGCCAAATTTCGCGCAATGCTATCGAGTAACTAGGTTAACTCCCGCTGCCGGTGAAAGGGACGGAGAGGCAATAAGAGGAGGGACAGGTAAGCGCGGGAGTAGCTGCGGTGACAAAGGGCAGGCAGGCAATCCACTAGTAAACAGGACGATTCCGCATTCCACGGAGATAGAGAGGAGGCAGTCATCACGTCCGTGCGAAGTCCAGCAGTTGTCCATCAATGTCCTGCTTTAACGAGAATTCATGCTGGCCGGCGTTTCTCTTACCGCGTTAAACAAAATTAGCGCACCAGCGCAAACTTCCATTATAGATGTACTGATATAGTAACTGCTGAATATCAGCATTCACCTAATAATAATTATAGCTAAACACCTTTGTATTCAACGTTTACGGACCATAGGTGAACGGACCATTCTACTGACCATAGGTGAACAATGGCTCGACATATCATGCCTGCGCTAATCACGGTGTTGGTGGTTTCATTGCGTCTGAGTGTCGCTCAAAACACTAATTTGACGACCTGCCCAGGTAAGGTTTTTCCTTGTTGGTTCAGAAACATACCTGGGTCTTAGAACACCATTATTATATGCTTGTACACATGGTCCATCTTGTTCTTATAAAGTTGTGCCTGTCTGCGCTTGCACTTACCTTGCCTATTACAAACTCATTGCAAGTATGCAACGACTATTCATTACTTTAATAGCGCGAAAGGACTTCTTGTCGTTGCGGTGCCCCTTATTATTACCTTCTCCCCTGCCAACATGCCCGGATATGTGCCCGCCTTATGGCGACTGTCGTCAGTATCCCGGGGCCAGTTGTTTAACCAGGTATTGTGGTGACTGTAGCGCAAGCTGGTACGCTGTGGCCATGGACAGCGTCAGCGCCCGCGTGGGATGGTTAGATGTGACGAACGCGTGCAGTACCGGTACACTGGATCCCCGCATTACCCCTCTGGCGCCCAACCCGAGCTGCCCGGCAGTTTAACGAGTTGCCGAGGGAATCAGACACTTTCCCAGTATTTTGTAGAACCGTGCGCTTGTCAGACGTGTACGCGAATTTCCTCGGCTGTCTGCTGTAACGACTTTTGCAACGAGAGCGGTTACGCTTTTTACGCTAACGGTATCGATATTACATCTTCTTGCTGAAGTTTATTGGCATAAATTATTCGTATATAATTTGTTTTATCTGTTTTACTTCGACACATTTAAGCAGCCGAAATTTTCTGTTTTTGGAAAGTTTCTAATTTTTTAACTTTGCCGTGTAACAATAAACCATAAGAGCGAGATGTGACGCTTTAGTTTAATTCGCATGTAAAGTACCGCAGACAAATATGCACTATATAAACTTGTTGCTGAATTTAACGTGGTATTGCGATACAATACGCCAATTACACGTCAAACTTTCGTCATAAACAGCTGGTCTGGACATATTTATCAACCGCAGCAGGCTGTTTTAACAGGTGACAACAGGTTTATAATGCATGTACGTTTTGTATGCCAAGCGATACTTTGTACATAAGTTTGAAATTGTATACAGAGCTGTGTATGTGCGAGTTCAACACATTACAATATCTATGGACCAGTGCTACCATGGGATGCTCACCAGGATTCACCAACGGACCAGTCCATCAAGAATTTATGCAGTTACAATGGTGGAGTGACATTCACAGTAGTCAGCGTACCACAATAATCGATATACTGTATACCTACTGGGGCGAGTAACTTTCCAGGCATGCATCTGTTAATACTCTCTCTCTCTTTCCGAAAGTACTAGGAGTATACGAGTACAGCATCACTTTTAACAAAGCAAACAATATCCTTCCTATGTATTTTGCGGATTAACATGGGACGTTAGTGACATCCCGGCTAAACATACTCACTCGGAGAGTGTACATTGTAAAGTTCAAGTTTCCCTTCCATCCTCTAGTGCAGCTCACATTTGCGGGAGTCGCAGGATATATGCGCCCCTAAAAACACCATTGCGCATTACGGCACCAGTAACCTACTTCCTGCCATAACGTTACAACGGCTGCGCTAAATAAATTCAGTACCGTGAGCCAAAAAAAATGAATCAATCGGAAAATGCTTCATCGATACTGCTATTAAGCGACGTTGTATTATTGAAGGAATCGTCAATTCGGACAAATGCTTTCCTGTCTATATCTTCTTTGTTATGCGGATTAACATGCGTACTGACCGTTCCTCTCCTAATCCTGACCATTCGCCAAAGGTCACACGGGCCCAAGATCTTGATTCTCCACCAGCTGACAACGGAATTACAGCTAACGCTAATACATTGGCCGCTGTATATTATGATGTTCCTGCTTTCCCAGTATGACTTCCATTTTTCCGTCGGATTCTGCCAGTGGTACCTATTTTGGTACATGATTAACATGACCGCTGGTGTTTGGGGGCTGTTTATACTGGCATTGAACCGGTTGATCGCCATCGCCAAACCGCACATCTATCACCAATGGAACAGCACCTGTATTAACGTGATTTTAATTGTTTTCTGTTGGTTGATTGGATTCGTTTTGTATCTGTATTTTGCCTTGGGCGGTGACGGTGGCTTTGCACCGACTTCCCCGTTTGGACTGTGCAGTTTCGTCCGACCGGGAACGATGCTGGTGGTGTGCAACGTCTTTGGAACATATCTGCCCTTGATTTTGGCGTGTGTGGTGTATGTTCCGACTTTATGCCGGCGTCGCCATCGAATCACGACTGGAATTAGCCCGGTGGTTACTAAATCGTACCGGACAAAGCAGCGATTGACCGTTATGCTGTTTGTACTGACACTGGTGCATGCGATCTGTTTTGCCAGTGTCCCGATAATGAACTCCTTCTTCCCAGAACTGTATATAAAAGATCCCATGGCGCGGTTATGGTGGCGGCAGTTTTTGTCGTTGGGATACTTGTCCACACCGGTAAATGTATTATAGTAGAATCGTGTTTTGTTGAAACGTTTTGTAATTCTACAAATGACGCTGCATCCCGTTTGCAGGTTTTGTTTTTCGCTGTTAACCGGGGTTTCCGGAAAGGGATTACGGGAATATTCCTACGGAAACTTCGCCTGAATTCTGTTGCTACTGTCACCAATATCGCCGGCAATACGTTTCACTAAGTGTTGTGTCAAGTTGACAAGGATCGTGGGATTACTTACAAAATCCCCAGGGGCATATATTGGCAACACCTCTTCAACACGGCAGAGAATTGAGAGGTTTCCTGCCATGTCAGCTAATGACTGCATGATTGGACAACTGGTCATGCACCGGAAAACAGATAGTATTTAGGTAGGTATCCACAAGATCTTACGAGAACACTGCTTAAATAATTAAGGGATTTTCCCACAGATCTCGTATATGTTGGCCATGCACAACAATACTTACGTACATAGCTGTATGCACGTCCCGTATCTCGTCATTATGATTTCTTCATTGTTATATTTCAAATCAATACTTCTCCATTTGTTGCAGTCAGTACCATGCAAGCTGATAAGAAAATGCTTTTTATGCTAAATCGAATTATGATGTCATGCCATGTCGATTATCATTGCTTCAAGACATACATAAAAGCACTGCCTGCTATTATTATTTTTATATAACACGATGTATCTGTATGAGATAAAAGACAATTCGCGTACACGCAAGAAATAGAAGTGTGTAGAAATATTAAGGCAGGTATCGTTATGCAGCGTTAATCACGGTGTTAAAACAAATACGTTACTATCAGCGTGCTATAGCCATAAACCGAGGTAAACACTGTTATCGCATATTTACCATAGATAATCCTTTCTGAAATGCGCTTTCGCCTGCGCGCGTAAAGTTGGAAGAAAATAGAAGTTTTGATCTAACGGATATTCTTCAAAGGCAGGACTTTTCAGGCATGCTTAGTTGATTTTAAAATATAAGTATTCCCAACTTTTTTGGATGATAATGGCGTCTAATGATGGCTATTCGCGGGCACACAAGCTGGTAGTTCTGGGAGAACAGAGCGGTCGGTAAACTGTTCGATGTAGAAGTTTATAAACAAAGTTCATTGACATAATTGCGTACTGATGTGTGCACACTGATACTTTGATTCTCGTACTCGTAAACGTTTATAAATACAAGCTGCTTCTTCTGAAGCATATAGAATACAAAATACAGATCCTGTATTGTGCATCTAAACTTACACAATTATTGTACAACTGTATTCGCTCATTCTAAATCAAAGTCACAGCAAAGCTGCCAAGAAAAACAACATCGGGCACATATCGTTCCGGATCAGCCAATCTAAAAGCTGAAAAAACCTACCCGTATCGGTACATTATTATACTTGTACCGATACGGGTATTAAAGGATATACAGAAATTGTACTGTACAATCTTTATTTTACATTAATTATCACCGCTCCATCTATTATTCATTCTGTACTGTACTTTTGCTGTTTTTTTCTTGCAGTGGGGAAAACATCACTGATATCGAGATTCATGTATGATACCTTTGATAGCCACTACCAAGCCACAATCGGGATTGATTTTTTGAGCAAAACAATGTATGTCGATGATCGGATTGTGCGACTGCAGCTGTGGGACACTGCCGGCCAGGAACGCTTCCGCAGTCTAATCCCTAGCTACATTCGGGACAGCACCGTCGCGGTTATTGTATATGATATCACAAGTAAGCGCCACGGAGTACGGTTTGCCGTAGTTAATGTTACCGCTTCCGGAATCCACTGGGGGGCGCTGGAGCCCCGGCTGCTGGGAGGCTGGTGCTCTCGGTGATCGGCTGCGTGCGGTGACCGTGGGTCAGCGAGAAGCCGGCCGACCGGGTCGGCGGAAGAGAGCGACCAGTGCCCTGCGCAACCGAAGGCCCCTTTATTGAGCAAGTGCGAAATAACAGCAGAAGAAAACAGCAGGGTGTGGCGGGTGGTAAAAGAACAGATCACTCGCGCGCACACGATCGAATGAGCAAAACAGACAGCAATGAGAACTGCAGAAAGATGCAATGCGAGCGTACGAACAGTGCCAAGTGCAAACGGCATGCCCGTGCATGACGGCGGTCGCTTTGATCTAAGCGCCACGGCGACGCGCAGCGCCACCAACAGACTCACGTAACTCGCCACACACGGCGAAAGGAGAAAGAGCGGGAGCGCATGTCCTCCAGCTAACATTAACATCAATTAACTCGTTAATTGTCATTTAATGTTACCGCTTCCGGAATCCACTGGGGGGCGCTGGAGCCCCGGCTGCTGGGAGGCTGGTGCTCTCGGTGATCGGCTGCGTGCGGTGACCGTGGGTCAGCGAGAAGCCGGCCGACCGGGTCGGCGGAAGAGAGCGACCAGTGCCCTGCGCAACCGAAGGCCCCAAACAAAACCCCAAACAACCCAGTATAGGGATTGATAGTATAAGGACTGATGCAGCAGTTGGAATGGTTCCACGGAGGTATTTGGTGCAGAGTCTGAATTCCATTGGGAGAGCGCGAAATTCGGCTATGTGTATCTCGCCAGGGCAGGCGTCGTTGCGTCGCCGTTGCGGAAGCAGTGTGTGCTGATCCTGTCGCGGTATGGCAGCACAATGTAGTCTTTCAATGGTGAAATTCGCTGTTATGCAGGTTAGGTATGCATCGCTAGCGCAGTGTAATCCGGTAACCGTCCCGAATTGGTTCGTCGTAGTAGTTCCCAAGAGTGGGTGAGCAAACTTCGCGTTGGCAATAACACCGTCCAGGACGGAGGTTAGCTGTAGGTGCCAGAGATCGGAACCGGTCCTGCTTGCCGGCAGACATGGTGCAGTTGTCGTTAGAGACCCGTATTTTTTGTCGGTGTGGCTATAGGTGATAACCTGCCGCCCGAGATAAGTGTGGCCGTCGCTGTTGGCTGGCCTTGCCGTTGGAAGTAGGTGCGAGCGTAGCTGGGGGAACGCCGTGTCGCGAAATATAGGTGGTTGTCGTTGAAGGCCTACCTTACATTGGATACAAAGCGGCCGTAATGGCAGGTAGCGTCTGGCCGTCGGAGGTGGCCGTGGTTCGAGGCCTGCCTTGCCCTCTGACGTGGGCACAGCCGTAGCTAGAGGCCTCCTTTTCCTTCCGCAGTAGGTGCAGCCCCCGCTGTTGGCTTGCCTTGCAGTCGGAGGTGGTGCGGCCTTAGTTGTATCAGCCTTACAATCCGAGCAGGGGCAGTCGTCGCAGACGGCTTGACTTTCCGTCGCAGGTGAGTGCGGCCATAGTTATACCTGCCCTGCCGTCCGAAGTGGTGCAGCCGTCAAGTTAGCTTACAAGCCATCGTTTGGGAGGGGAAACCGTAGCTGGAGGCCTGCTTTACCGTCAGAACTGGGTGCAGCCGTAGCTGCTGGCTTGCTGTGTGCCAGAGTTAGATGCGGCCATAATTGGTGGCTTGCCTTTCCGTTCGAGGAAGGTACAGCCGTCGCTGGTATGCGTGTTTATCAACGGCGGAGGGTGCCGCCCTTGCTAGGAGGCCAGATTGAATTCCAAGCCTTCCTTGGTGGGCCTGCGTGCCGTCGAAGGAGGACGCCGCGTTATTAGTGGTCTGACTTCCGTCCGAGGAAGGTACGGCCGACGTTGGTGGGCCTGCTGCCGTCGGAGGAGGGCGCCGCCGTTGCAAGGGTGCCTGACTGCCGTCCTAAGGAAGCTGCCGCCTTCGTTGGTGGGCCTGCTTGCCTTCGGAGGAAGAGGCCGCCGTTGTTAGATGTCTGACTTCCGTCCGAGAAAGGTGCAGCCGTAGCTGGAGGCCTGCTTTGCCGTCAGAAGTGGGTTCAGCGGTCGCTGCTAGCTTGCTGTCTGCCAGAGTTAGGTGCGGCCATGATTGGTGGCTTGCCTTTCTGTTCGAGCAAGGCGCGGCCGTTGTTGGTGCACCTGCTTGCGGTCCAAAGACAACGTTGCGGTTGGAGGGGCCTGTCTGCTGTGCGAGGGAGGTGCAGCCGTCTTTGGTGGCCTGCTTGCCGTCGGAGGAGGGCGCCGCCGTTGGTGGGGGCCTGTCTGCCGTCCGAGGAAGGTGCGGCCATTGTTGAAAGACTACCTTGCCGTGTGAGGAAGGTGCAGCCGTCTTTGGTGGCCTGCTTGCCGTCGGAGGAGGGCGCCGCCGTTGGTGTGGGCCTGTCTGCCGTCCAAGGAAGGTGCCGCCATGGTTGAAGGCCTACCTTGCCGTGCGAGGAAGGTGCAGCCGTTTGGTGGCCTGCTTGCCGTCGAAGGAGGGCGCCGCCGTTGGTGGGGCCTGTCTGCCGTCCGAGGAAGGTGCGGCCATGGTTGAAGGCCTACCTTGCCGTGTGAGGAAGGTGCAGCCGTCTTTGGTGGCCTGCTTGCCGTCGGAGGAGGGCGCCGCCGTTGGTGGGGGCCTGTCTGCCGTCCGAGGAAGGTACGGCCATTGTTGAAGGCCTACCTTGCCGTGCGAGGAAGGTGCAGCCGTCTTTGGTGGCCTGCTTGCCGTCGGAGGAGGGCGCCGCCGTTGGTGTGGGCCTGTCTGCCGTCCGAGGAAGGTGCGGCCATGGTTGAAGGCCTACCTTGCCGTGCGAGGAAGGTGCAGCCGTCTTTTGGTGGCCTGCTTGCCGTCGGAGGAGGGCGCCGCCGTTGGTGGGGGCCTGTCTGCCGTCCGAGAAAGGTGCGGCCATGGTTGAAAGCCTACCTTGCCGTGCGAGGAAGGTGCAGCCGTCTTTGGTGGCCTGCTTGCCGTCGGAGGAGGGCGCCGCCGTTGGTGGGGGCCTGTCTGCCGTCCGAGGAAGGTGCGGCCATTGTTGAAGGCCTACCTTGCCGTGTGAGGAAGGTGCAGCCGTCTTTGGTGGCCTGCTTGCCGTCGGAGGAGGGCGCCGCCGTTGGTGGGGGCCTGTCTGCCGTCCGAGGAAGGTGCGGCCATTGTTGAAAGACTACCTTGCCGTGTGAGGAAGGTGCAGCCGTCTTTGGTGGCCTGCTTGCCGTCGGAGGAGGGCGCCGCCGTTGGTGTGGGCCTGTCTGCCGTCCAAGGAAGGTGCCGCCATGGTTGAAGGCCTACCTTGCCGTGCGAGGAAGGTGCAGCCGTTTGGTGGCCTGCTTGCCGTCGAAGGAGGGCGCCGCCGTTGGTGGGGGCCTGTCTGCCGTCCGAGGAAGGTGCGGCCATTGTTGAAGGCCTACCTTGCCGTGTGAGGAAGGTGCAGCCGTCTTTGGTGGCCTGTCTGCCGTCCGAGGAAGGTGAGGCCATTGCCGGTGGCTTACTTGCCGTCGGAGGAGGCGCCGCCGTTGATTAGAGGCCTGTCTGCCGGCGGAGGGAGGTCTAATCGTAACTGATGGTCCTACTGCCGTTGCAGGTTACCACAGTCTTCTCCCGCAGGCTTTCCTGCGGTGATGGTGGGTGCGGCCGTGGCTAGAGACCTGGCTCGCTGGAGCCGTAGTTGGGTAAACCGCTTTACTGCGCGAAGGAGGTGCAGTTGACGCTGGTTGCCTGCCCTTGCCGTCCGAAGTAGGTGCAGCCGTAGTAGGGTTCTACTTACCGTCTTATGACAGTGCAGCCGTCGTTGGTGGCTTGCCCCGCGGCAGAGGTAGGTGTAGCGGTCCGTGGCACCCTGTTTTTCCGTTTGCAACGGGTAACGGATGGCGAATTTCCCGTTGATCGTTTTATTGCGCTGAGTGGTTGTTCATCTTGCCCGCTGTTCGCCTCGTAATGATGGTTCTCCAGGGGTGCATAACGAACGGTGGCGTTCAAGAGCTGCCACGAGCGGGAGCTGTTCCGTTGGCTCTTTTTCGGATAGTGGGATTTAGATGACAAAGAATGCGCTAATATGAAATCAGGTGTGAACTTAGCCAGCGTCGATGGTAACAAAGCTAGCCAGCGTTGAATGAAACGCTGAGCGATCGCAAAGACAGCAGCTAGGTAGAAACTAGCGCGTGATCAGCTAGATAGCTGCGCTCACACATGAACAGCCAACAAAGCTGGCATGCGGACATCTCGAAGTCCTACATCCAAGCTGCAGATCCAAGAAGATGAAGATCTGTCTTGAAAAAAGAACAGATCACTCGCGCGCACACGATCGAATGAGCAAAACAGACAGCAATGAGAACTGCAGAAAGATGCAATGCGAGCGTACGAACAGTGCCAAGTGCAAACGGCATGCCCGTGCATGACGGCGGTCGCTTTGATCTAAGCGCCACGGCGACGCGCAGCGCCACCAACAGACTCACGTAACTCGCCACACACGGCGAAAGGAGAAAGAGCGGGAGCGCATGTCCTCCAGCTAACATTAACATCAATTAACTCGTTAATTGTCATTTCACAATAAACTGGCAGAACGTTCTGCCAGTTTATTGCGAACTAAGGAATTATTTTCTTACGCTAAAAATTCCCGGAAATCTAAAGAGAGCGCAGCACAATTCTATGCAAAAGTGCGGGTTTTCGGGGTTTCCTCTGATTAATGAACTGCTAAGCCAAATCTTTCTCGAAGTAACAAGCCTAATATTTGAATCACAAATCGTTTCATTATAAAAGATTTATTTTAGGTATCATTCAAATATTATGAACTGATTATCCTGTGCGATTATCCTATACAGATGCTACATCGTTTCAGCAGACATCGAAATGGATTGAGGATGTCAGAAATGAGCGGGGAAACGATATTATAATCATGCTTGTCGGGAATAAAAGCGACCTAGCTGACAATCGTCAAGTTGAAACGGAGGAAGCGGAAAGAAAAGCCAAGGAGCAAAAGGCCATGTTTATCGAAACTAGCGCGAAAACCGGATACAATATAAAACAGGTAGCGAGTTCATCGCCAACATTGTTAGCAGTGTTGAAAAACGTCGAATAAATTACTACTTTCGCAGTTATTCAAAAAAGTTGCCACGTCCCTGCCGGGAATGGATCCTGTGGAAGAGCGGACACAGGAGGATGTTGTGAAACTCCGAAAAGTCGACCAAAATGTTGCCTCCAACGAAGGCGGTTGCTACTGTTACTCAAAATTATTTAAATGATCACCATAAATTCGGATGCCATCTGCACGATGATTATACGCTTTTTCATGGTTGGAGCTACTTAAGCGTCGATTCATCTCGGCAAAATGTTAAAAAAGGCTTTTTACTACTTTCTAGTTCTAGAATCTAAATTATTAATTGACAATTTTTGGGACGAAAAAATTTAACACAACCACATGTCGTAGTGCGCAGCAATATATGTACAATAATGGCAGTACTATGCTATTAAGGCAATAAAGCGACACGCCTACTTCCGGTGCTACGTCACGATAAGGCAAGCCATCCACCAGCGCAATGCTTTACGGCTCGTATGCTCCGTAGGTTGTTATGATAAGCGCTTTGAGGTTTGTTCAAGTTCAAAACGAGTAACCTACAGTTTACAAAAGAGAGAAAAAAATTTCAAGATTTCTGATGTATAGTTTGTGTGGAGTTTGGGCTGATTGTAGGTTTCAGAAAGGTTCCGAAGTGTCTGCAGTTTGCTCACAACGGTCGTGCGGTCTGGACCGACCGTTGCATTGACTTTGTATGGTAACTCGATTTGCTTTCAGAACGTTTTTAAAACCTCCGTTCGCCTTTTTAACTGAAAACGTTTGCACCAGAAAACGTAAAATTTTTTGGGCTTTCTTTTGAACTATACGACGATGATTTTGTTGCACGATAAAGCGAAATACATTTACCATACAACCAATAGAAGCATGTGGCGTATACACAACGGCTTGCCTTAGTATTGCGCAATCGAAATCGCTTTGCTGCCTTAATAGTATAGTACTGCCATGGTACAATTCATGACCAGCTTGCTATAAAAATAACAAACCCGAGCTCTTTTTTCACAAAAATTATCTATCTGTAGATAATGCAATCAAAATACTATTGCGTGCGGCGCGAAGATTATATTTTTATGCAGCTGTTGCCATGCTAACCACACTACGCTGCACAAAGTGCCCGAATAGACACCCCTCCCGGTATCCTTTTCCGGGTTTTTACGAGCACACGTTCGACGCGTTTCTCTCGGTGCGGTTACTGGGCGACTAGCGAGTTACATGCATCGCCAAAACGGCATTAGCTAGACTCGAAACGCACTTTAAATGCGTTCTGTACGATACAGAGCCGGAAGTTCTGTAACTTTTCGATCACACCCCCTTACCACTGATTGGACGGCCGAGTTAAAGTGTTCTGTATCTAAAAGGAACTCTCCTGGCTCCGTTACGATACAGAACTCGCATTTCTTGCTACGTCAAAGTTATTTTTGATGTGGGTGCACAGTCCGCTGTACGTCTAAGTCCTATTTCTAATTTTCAAGTTTTGAGGGTGTAATTAACGGGAGTTTAATTGTTTCTATCGAATCAACATTCCAGTTCTGCTTTGTTCACTGATTCTGATTTTAGCTGCCTCCGACTGTACATGTTTGATTTGTATCGATGGCAACATGCAACTTCGCCATAGCCGTCAGCGCGAGGAATACCTCGGCGTACTTTATACGCGCAATTGCCTTTCGCTTTTTCACCAGTCGTTTGATTTCTTAACTTAACAAAACTTAAAATCACCAGAAAAACATAAAGGAAACGGCCACAAAATTGTTGTGAAAAGTAAATAAATCGTTGACCAATTCAACTACGGTAACGGGGCGCTTTTAGAAACCGTGGTCTCGTTGCGCTGTAACGCTCTATAAGATTCAGCGCTGTACCATTGGCAGATTCACTTTTACAGAACTCCCGGCTCTGTATCTTACAGAACGCATCTAAAGTGCGTTTCGAGTAGTACTATTAACCTAACATTCGATCTGATCAAAGAAACGGAGTTTTTCCATCTAGACAGCGTATAATTAGCACACAATTAACTTGCCGTCTGTCTGTGAGAGATAGCCAGTACTATTGCTGACCAGGCCAGATTATTTCCTGTCTCGATGGTTATCTTTATTATTACACTGGGCAGACAGAGTAACAGACCGGTTAGCTAAGGACAAAGCCGCTGACAGACGGATACGCGCTGCCCTCAATGAACCGGTATTCTCTCTTGACCAGTCAGTGGACGGCGTGGCACATGAGGACAGCGTGCGCGGTTCTCTCTCGCTCCATGTCTAACATCTTCAACTTATCTGACCGAACACTTTCCTCAATATCATAATCTACGACTGCCAGTTGCTTATAGATTTTTCCGTTTTTTTGCCTTCAGTTCTCCAAATATCTGGAAAAATATTATCGCTTAAAATGCGACCATTAATAATTAATCTAAATAACACCGTTATTGTGAAAGGTGCCGGTGATTGCTGGTTGTGGGGCTTAGTGCATGATATTAATGCGACGGGACTCTTGATTAATTTCGACATTCCCCACCAAAAACCGGAATGGGTACCTTTTGACAGGGTTCGCTTGCCACCAACGACAAATTATTTATCTGGCAATAATTACAGCGGAGACGAACGACGCCCGAAGGAATGTTACTTTGTCGCCGTACGCCGCGATGAAACTGGACCATTTATCTGGCAATCGGCGATCAGTTACCGCAAAATCTATGCGCACACCGTTGTGGTAAAATTCCTGCACAACGGCAAAGAAAAACTGGAATCCATCCCGCCGATGCGCGCCTTTCGTTGTAGTTTTCCTGCAGAGTTATCTTTGGATAGCGTACTAATAAACGGAAGGCTTGTTACAGCCCACACGTTTCACACCGAAAACATGTCTGGTCCGAACCTCGGCCTCAAAATTCGCGAGCTCATGGTAGATCCCGGATTCAATTGTTACCTAAATAACGTTCATAACGACATCGCTTGCTTAATTATTGGCACAGACAGCGTCACAGCGGTTAATATTCAAAACGATGGGACTCCGAGACCGTGTAAAAAATGGAAGCGAGCTGTCATGGATATCGACGACTTTGGGGCCTGGGATTTGCCGGCTCCTGTCCGCTGGAACGAAGTAGCGGGAAACATAGACGACGGGGGCAATGCTGACATGTTGACGACGAAATTCGCGTTATGTTCGGAAAGTTTTCCTGCAAATAACGGTGAGATACTCAAATATCAAGATGCACTTAAGTTTTTGCAAATTATTTGGCCAAACCGAAACGAAGCACGTACGGAAGTACAAGTTTCGTTTAAGAAACCGTTCGTAGTCAGCACCAGTGGTCAGTAAAACCTAAAAACGGCTGTAAACTACAGGGGACTTCGAAGTTGTGTTATACTTATGTACAATGTAACCACAAAACTCGCACAACCATTTACTAATTTGTACTGCAGTCAGTCAAATTCCGGCCTGGCACTTGCACCTCGAACAAATTCACTTGCACCTCGAACAAATCCCCACGAAAACCAACAACAACATCTAAACGAATGAGAAAAAAATTACAAAAATTTTGATACCAAACAGGTTATTGTTCATGAGATCTAAGAAAATCGAAGCATTTAAGGTTTAAATGTAAAGTACTGGTACACAGGTAATGTTCAGATACCTACGTGTTCCTGTGTTTAGCACGCAAATTTAAATACTGCGCGGTATATAAGATTGTGTTCGAGAACGTAAAATACCAGCCGGATGACGGCTGCAAGTACAAGGACTGCTAAAACAAGCTCTTGTCATCCCTTTGTATATAGGACAGCCAGAATCGTGTGACAACGGTTGCTTTATTTCGCAGCTACAATAAACAAAGTGGTGTGTTTGGAAATTTTACTGGAGATATTTGGCCAAGTGGATACAGTAACACAAACCCGCTTGCGTGCGTAAGTGGTGTGATCATTACCCGTAAAATTAATCTAACAGTGATGCTTATACTATTTAATGACTTCGTTTGTTTTTTCGTTGTGTTCTTGATACTTGATAGTAAATACTATAAAAATTTTGTAGAGTGTGCAGCAAATGGAACATCATCTTATGCCACGAATCGATTCTGCAGCACGCTTACTTGTGTAACTATTACCACCTGAACTGCACCGACAGCGGCTTTCTGTCGTTTTCAACACCAGGCAGCGTTTGGTATGCTGGCGTGAAAAGCGCGGAATACCGCGTACGACGAGCGTTAAACCGGTTACCGCGGACGGCGCACACCCTCCGACTGGCAGACATGAGCACGTACGCAATTGGGGGACTTCTGTTTCCGTCACCATTCCATAGCAAAGACAGGATTCCAGTGCGATGGCTGATTTTAGACCGTCCCGACGCTGTGGTCAGTGAACTGGGCCCTTCGTTAACGGGTTCAAAGAACACAAGACGCATAACTTTGCAACTCCTGCTGTTCATGTCAGAGTTCGTGATAATCAAGAACTCCTCTGGAGAGTGCTATCGTTTTCACAAGAGCGGCGGCTTTCCGGGTGAGATGGTGGGTGCTGTTTCTCAAGGTATGGGGAAACCATTTCTACCCTTCTCTACTATAAAATACTCTTAGGGTCTTTAATTAACCAGTGACAGACGTATTACCTCGAAGCTCGAATAGTCTGTTCGGAATGTAGCGACAAAAATGCAATGCCGTGCTTGAAATAACGCGTATGTTATTTATTGCTAAGCTATCTTGACATAACGTTCGTTGTCTATCAACGTAACAATGTTGTTGTTACAGTACCTGTTGTTCCGGTCTTTTTTCCATAAAGTGCGATGATCACCGGGCTCTTCTCCAGATCGCTGTTGAATTTATTTTCTGGCTTTAAGCTAAAACCGATTCCATGGTTTTTGTAAATTTTAGTGTTCAACAGAAAAATACGATTGCAAAATTAAATTGCACGAACAAATTCCGCTCGCAAATTGGTCAACACATTACGGTTCAGCACACAACACACGATATTAAGTCATCAGCAGGTTAAGCAGCGCGCCACGTGGGCGGGTGGTGGTCCGTTGGTTCTTGCCTGATCCGCACAATCGCACATTGTGCGGATCAGCCAGCTAACCAAACATTAACCACCATTGTGGCGGGTAACGTAGCTGTTGATTTGATACCGTTCTGTTCGTTGAGTTACCAATTTGCTGAGCCGCAAAGTGCAAGTGGCCAGTTTGCGAGCGGATTCGAAGTAGCCTAACCCTAACGTACTAAGAAAATCAGAGATGCGCTCAATTCCGCTTTGTAAAAACTTGCCCTGGCCAGCTGTGAAACTTGTACGGGAAATGCCGTACACAGAGTGTGTTTCCTGCACAATACACACACAGTGAAATATGATTGCAGGCATGACACAAGTTGCGAAAAATTTTACCGGCATTAGCGAATGCCACATTATCACACTACACTGCTTCAGGTTTTCTAGTAGTTCATCCTTTGTTATGAAGACAACCACTTAATTCCACATTTTCATGCGTATCGATTTCCGTGAATATTATCTTTTTTTGGCACCAGTAACACAGAACTTAACGGATAAGACGTAGTAGCGGTTTGGCAGCAAGGTAATCGTCTTTTTAAGCCAACAATCTGTACATTCATAATTCTATACCAAAGTTTCAAGTTTTCCAAGCAACCCAGCCTTCCAGTTTTGCTCTGTGCAACGGTTTTTGCTTGGGTTACTATGGATTCAAGCCGGATGCCACCGTATGAGCGACTGCTGGCGGATGGCAACCAGATAACCTATCAGAATACCGTGGCTGTCCGCAACGAGGACGGTGTGTACTGGCTGGGACAGATTCAGGATATATCCGAGGACTATGCCTTCATCCACTTTGGATGTACAAAGGTTGCAGCTAGCTGGATCCACGCGAGGCGTGTGTGGCCCTTGCCGTTTCCGACCGATGCAGAATGTCGAGTCGCACCCGTCTTTGCAGCTCTCCCTCATAATGACGACGGTCCATTCCGTTTTCGCCGCGTCGTTGTATTAGGTGGTGTACGCGTATGGGGCGCAATGGGAATGGCAATGTACTACGTCAAAGCCGATATTCCCGACGCCAGTAACGAGGCTCCTGGTGCTCGTAGGGAACTGGTGAATCGATGCCAAATTGTCGTGCAGCTACCGTTTGCCGAGCCACCGCTTCTGTATCACAGCGACGGTTTAGTGTTCCGAAAGTACTTTATTCCTTGTGCCCGAGCACAAGAGGTTCTGCGCGACGCTTCCGACAAGTTCCGTATCATCAAGCACTTTTCCGACACTTTTCCGACACTTTTCTACAAGATATGAAACTAAGGGACGAATTTATTGAACTTTATAGCCTCAGCGCAATTAGCGTATATAATTATTTTTTTTATCGCTTATTTAATTTTTGATATTTTTGTACAGTACTGTTATACTGCCTACCAAAAATACTACACCATAACTGTCGATTTCTTTTTGCGGAACAGCGCAACAGTAAATTGCTAGAGATTGCAATTTTGCTAGAGATTGAATTTGTGAGTAATAACCGATGTTTGTAATCGTAGAAGCTGCGCTGCGGTGCAGCAGTGAAAAATTTCGGTGCACGTTTCCTAGTTAATTGCCAGGTCTATTTATTCAGGATGTGTGCGTTATGGATTTTGTGTTTCTCCAGTCGATAGGTAACTGAACACATCAGCATCTACTTGAAAACCTGCTCAGACGCCAAGAGATCCCACAATTTCAACAGTTATAAAGCAGCGTCTCTCTGGAGCCGTGCGGTCAGCTTATCGACCAAAAGCCTCACTACAGAGTATACTGCAGAACTTCGATTACGGCGGTTGTTTGAGCAACCTTCTAAAAGCCATGTGAATCAAAGTGCCGTTAATAATTCTTACAGACTTTACTATTGGTAATGACGAATTCCCGATACTTTACGACTATTCCGATGCAAAATATCAATTACATCACGCAATGGCGATGGAGATAGCCGTCTTCGGCGAGTGCTGCCGCCGTACAATTGGAAAGTGCGCGAAATCTTTTGCGGTGTCGTGTTTGAGCTGTTCTTCTATTCCAGTCAAGAACATATTCAGAGTTTAGTTGCTTTGCCCTCTGACGAAGAGGAGCGGATGACACGTCTGACTTTCGAGGAGCATGTCGGTGTACTCGCCGCTGACACACTGGAAATCACCATTCCCCATCTCATTCTGCACAGCACCGGTGGTCAGTACCACATGATGCGGCTATTTATGTGGGGCTTGGACAATAATGTTCCGCCGATCACCGACGGCATACATGCAAAGGTCGCGGCTGTACATGCTCGATGGGTGCGGAATTTGGCGTATCCGGCTGAATGGGATACGATCCGAATTTATCTGACAATGTAAGTACATATAGCGAACAGCAACTGTTCTTCAGCTTTGCCAGGCGAACAATTGGCAAAGCATAGCATGACGTTGTGTTCGTATTACATCCAAAAAGCACCTACAGCATTCGGAATCGACCATAACTTCCGGATGTCCTGGTTGTCCGGGCGCTTTTCTCGGCTAAATATGCGATGTCTTTCTTAAATGTATGAGCACGAAGGAAAATCAAATATGTCCTGCGGCCTTAACGCAATTTTGGACCAAAACTGTACTATGGCCGCACGACACAAATGTTTGGCCATCTCCGTATATGGGTATACTGTCCTAAAAGGTACGCCGTCTTGCGCTTGCATTTGAGTCAACCTGTAAAGAATATGAAAGTAAACGGGAAGTCCATGGGCCCCAGAAGGTACCGAGGTATTACAGTATGCCTGTACCTACCGTTTTATGTGTACCACGTTAGCTGAAATTTATGTGAAAAAGGCGTAGTTTTACCACATCAACCAATCTGACTGTATTTTTGGTAGATTCAGCGGATTCCACGCCAACGGCTCACCGAAAGCATGGGATGAAGTGGATCTGCGAGCGGAAGATGTGCGCACATGGAGCCGAATGGCGGTGCTGGGGATCAGCGACTTATTCAAAGCGTATAGGACATTGCCATATTAAGAATTATGCTATTTGGTTTTCGTTTATAGTTTTACATCTCGGGCGTTTGTTGGTATAACAATTACTCTGTAGCTGCATTTATATAGTCCTCTTAGCTTCGTTATTGTGCATCTGTTAAAAATTAACAATATCAGTGATATCACACCAGTAGCAATACTTTTTGTAGGGCTGGCCCCACCCGCCTATGCATATGCTCTATGGGAACGGAACACAGCACTCTACTGGGCTTTATACACAACACACTGTCTACACTGCCTCCACACAACAGAGCCGGCCGCCCTTTTATAGGAGCGAGCCGGTAAAAATGGAAAGATCCCGCTGACGTCTATGGACGTCAGCGGGGAAAATCAATACACGTACATGTACAGAGCACGCCGGGATCATGCATCCCCGGCGTGATATCGATCAACTACGGGCACACAACGCACAACGGGCACATACCGTCTGTAGGGCGAAACCCTACATTTTCCGATTTTCATTTTTCCCATAAAACTCATACTTAATACTACGTTTTCCCGTCAAAAATATACGTCAACCTTTATAGGATCGTAATCGTATTATCACAATCTTTAAGCTGACCACTGGCTACAGAATATTACTGACCCATTTTAGTAAAAATCGATCAAATCGCAGCACACCACTACTTTGTAATAAAAATTGGTGAATAGCCTTTAATAAGTATCGTCATGTAAGTACAAACTGAGTACTAAAAAGGACGAGATTTGTTACAAAAACGCTAAAAAATAAAAATTTAAGCATGTCTCTGTCTTCCTCTGCACAGTAGACTGCACTAGAAGTGTACAGTTTTAGGCTTTTAACGGACAATTTAATTTTTGTCCGTTCTTGAACGTGTAGGCATGTGGTTGGTGTCTTCAAGCAGCGATTATTTTCTCTTGCCAGTTACGCTGCACCTATCTGTGTCTTGTAGATAAAAATTTCTTTATCACTCGAACAATGTCATCCAAGCAATATGTCTGGGCTCCATTGAGTTCCAATTGGCACAATACAAATTAGAGACGAAGAGAATGAATGCGAAAAGACAAAAGGCGGGTCAAATTATTACGACGGAGAACTTTGGGCAGGACAGCTATGGTACGATTATTATCTGGTTTCTCTGCCCTTAAACCCTTGTACAGCGTATACTTGAAGTATGTACTCTGTATATACAGTCCTCGCTGGTAGCATTTAGCATCAAAATATTTAACGCGATGCGCCTTGTTGCAATAAGTTTTGTACTCACAGTTAAATGAGTTGTCTTCCATCTATGAAACAGCGATTCCAATCATCAAACACAGTTCACTGATGCATGATTTTGATGTCTTCAGCAAAACCTAGGTCTAGGCAGCGCAGCTGTATAGCCCCAAGTGTTTTTACCCAGCGATATTGCCGTTTGTCACCTCGAAATTTGCAAGGCAGCTTGACTTGCAGACTGGTCATCAGAATGGCTCCTCTAATAATCAATCTGAATAACAATGTTATCGTGAAAGACTGGAGGAATTACTGGGCGTGGGGCCAAGTACAGGATGTTAGTACGACCAGCCTTCTGGTTAATTTCGATATTCCTTTACATTCGGCGCAGTGGATACCGTTCGATCGCGTCTTTCTGCCAAACTACTCTCCCTGCAGCGAAGCATGTGGTGAACAGCATCACACTGTGTGCTTATTCGCGGCGGTACGTCGAGCTGAAAACGGACCGTTTATATGGCAACGCGTGAAGAACTACAAAACCGATATGGCGAACCCGAGCAACAATATCTGGGTGACAGCGGAAACTGAACGGGACGGTAATAAGCAATGGCAGATGATACCACATTTCCGCACATTTCGTTATGAGTGCTGCCGAGAACCCTCGATGCAGGATGTTTTTCCTGGGCGACCGGTTACGTTTATGACGTTCCAGAAGATGGAATATGAACAAGCGGATATCGGTGTGGTGTACATGGAACGCCTTTTTGATCCCTCTTTTAACCGCTGCATTGGCCAGGTTAACAGCGACATGGCCTGTGTGGTAATAAGCAGAAATAAAGTCATCCTCGTGGGTATCGACAACTACGAGATGTGCTGGAGTAAGACGATCAGCACGCTGGCGGAAATCCACAGGCTGTCGTATGAAGAGTGGCACGCCATGGTGCCAGCGGCCCAGAACAACGCGCCGCGGTGGAGTACTGTCGGGGCGATAATCAAAGATATCGACAAAGTTAACCGGGCGTCATTGTCCTTGCCGAAGAAACCCCGCCTTATATCTGCTGAAAGCGGTGAGAATATGAAAAAGCACAGTAAATAGCGGTGTGAAGGCATTTAACAAAACCCAATGCAGAACGGAACCAAGTTTTGGAGGCGTAGCATATTGCCATGTACTGGCCGTACAGCGGATGAAAATATTAGTTTCTGCACTGCTGATATGATTAGCAATATTGTCATAAATTATACTTATTTGTTAATAACGTATACTTATTTGTTAATAAATTACAGACGCCACGATAACTAGTGAAGGGTTGGTACTTAACGTTCTCGTGGAAATATTTAGCCATGTGGACACGGTAACTCAAACACGTCTGCGCAGGTACGTACTTTCGTACAATGTGGGAATAAAAAAGTGCTTTGATGCATTGTTTTTCCCGCACACTGCGCAAGCAAACGCTTCTCTATTCCAACTCTCTGCTGACGGCATATGCGCATCGGAGGTGCTCCCGTAGAAAAATAATTGTTTTATTAAATTTATTAATTTTGTATCTTAGTTTTGTGCCGCAAACAATTCTGGCCGATTCTCAATTCTTTCGTCGTTCACTGTACTGCCGAATTACAGCGAAACTAAGGTTTTAAAGTAAGAGCCCGGCATATGACGTCAATTTCGTACACGGATATATATTCGGAATCTTCTTTGATGCTTAATCGTATCGTCTGAAACTCTCTCCATATATTTTTGTGGACGCTTGCGAAAACGGTTTGTGCGTACAGACTTTCAGGACTAAATCAGGACATATGCACAAATTGTTGGCATTCATAATTTCATTCAGTAATTCCTCAATGGTTCGGTCAACTTCGGTGCAATATTTTTTTTGCATCATGCCGATCGCAAGAGAACATATCTGTTTTCCGGTTGCTCGTTAAGTCCGCATTTACCATTAATAACTGTTCTCTGCAGGGTGTGCGAGAAATGGAACAATGTATTGAACCATGAATACGCCAAAAACCAGGTTTATCTGGATCAGGCTAGCCGGGGAAATGATGACGACAGTGGGTTCCTTTCTTTATCGGCTCCCGGGAACGTATGGTATGCGGGAAGCCTGACCACGGAATATCGCTTTCAAAAAGCCATCAACAGCATAAATCGGTATCCGCACACATTTCGTCTGGCCAACATGCAGCTAACCACAAACCAGCTCCTAGCAGTACTTTGCCCACTCAACACGAGTTACACGACAATTAAACCGGGAATGCTAATTTTGGATGGTTGCGTCATCTTGGTTGCAAGTAACATTGAAGCGCACGTAGATTTTCTTAGCACATTCACTGAACTTGCATGCATGTTCAGTATTGCTAACCTTGTAGTAACCAAAAACGTTTGCTTTGAATATACCACACAACGCCACTTGAAGATTCTTTCCGGGTCAGTTATACTAAAATCGTTTAACAATTTAATTGAGCGCCTGTCTAAGCACTGATTCGACCTCATTTGATTGTCATGAAATCAGCCTGTAGCAGCCAGATGGAATTGAATAAATAAGTATCGCAGTGTCAGAGTGTTGTGCATAGTATCGCAGTGTAAGAGATGGTGGAGATGCCTCAAGATCCCTGTCATTCCCTTAATTTTGTTTAACTTTTGCACTCGATAACGGCGTTCTATCACATACGCCGTGACACGGAAGTTCCTCTCCTTCAGTGGAGGTCCCAGCTCATCAGTGACAGCTAGCGGAGGAGAATCCCCTACAGCACTAGAAGCAAGGAGCGTCGCTGGTTCGGAAGGCACGCGGCCGCCAGCAAGGAGAAGAACCGCGGATTACGCATCAAAGTGGTAGGCGCTAAGCCTATAATTTTGAATTTTATAGGATTAATTCCTGAAAAGGACGGATCATTTCTGTCCAGAGAGTACAAATTAGTGTTTTGATAAAACGGAGAAGGAAGAAAACGATTGTTTTCAATTAATTGAGTACCGTATAGTCAAAATTGTGACAAAAATGAGGAAAGTTTTGGCTATTGTGGTAGATGGCAGAATAGTAAAAATTATCGTGACAGATATTGTCGTGGTGTATCTGGATGACATCCTCTTATAAGAGAACGATTGTTCTGTCTTTTAGGATGTTATTTGATTATTAGCCGAACGCACGAATTGTTTTTGTAAAGGTTATTTATAACGGAGCGATGGCTCTACAGAGTGGATTTCCCCAGTCTTGCTTAAAAGTCATGTCAAAGAACCAGCTGATCTCTATCAGTGATAGCCGCTCTTTTGTGTAAGCATAGCTGCAGAGCAGCTTAATGGAATTGCGTGGAGCAGGCCATTCATAGCCGCCCAGGCCAATCTTCTAACTGTACAAAATCGAAAACTGCAAAGCAGTCCTGTAGCATAACAGAAAAAAATAAGTTTAGATTTTGACGATAACTACTATCATTTGATATTTCTCGAGTTCGACAATACCGTAGCGGATGGCATAATGCCGATACACCGCTCCCCGACCAGAAAACAACCAGCCATTGATAGGCTGAAGCAAGGCGTGGAGGACGTGTTAAAGTCGGCCAGTAAAGTGTTAAATCGAATAACCGAAGACCCAGCAAAGGCTGGTACGAGCGGGGCTCCACAACCGGACAAAGTAACCCGTAGTAAGGCAAATCAGCTGAAAGAGGCAGGTGTGGAAATTACCCACAAAGTCCTCCAGGATAAAACCCGTAAGCCGCGTAAAACGACCGTAATGGATCAAGGAGATAATCTCCTTGATACACCAGTAATGGAGCCGCCTGATCAGTTGTTTTTCAGGCCGCTAACGCCAGATAAAGTTAGACAAGTCAATCCCGATAATCGGGAAGAGGAACGCGCGCCTGCGCCGGAACGATCTGAAAGTGCTACAGAGTCAACGGCCACGACAGGGTCGTTTTCTCAAGTGAGCGAAAGCGAGCTGAATAAGTCCGCAACGACGGACGAAGAGGAGGAACCGGTAACAGTTGTGCCTACCACATTGCGTAAAACGCAATCATACACTGCTAATCTAAATGAATTGCTGAATTCTGCGGCTAAGCCGGCAACAGGTTCCACTATTGTGGAATTAAAACAGGCGACCGAAACTATTTCGGCAAACCAAGTGTTGATAAAAGATTTGCAGAGGAAGCTAGAAGTAGCTGAGGACGAAGTCCAGCACCACAAAAATCAGTACCAGCACGCCCACAGCTCCTTTAAAAATATGGAGAAAATTGTGTTGGGCTTGCGGGCCGTAATAGGCGAAAAGGATGCGGCGATTGCCGAGTTAAAAGCGAAAGTAGATGAAGTTCGTGTCAGAAATTCCGAAATGAATCAGCAATTAGCTGAGAAGGACACCATGCTTGATCAAGTGTGGCAAGAAAATCAGCGATTAAAGACCAACAATTTTAATTGCACGACCGATCTGAAGAACGTGCAATCTATGTTGCACGAAAGCCAAACGGCACACCAATCTCTTATTGGGAAATTTAATTCTTTAGCGAAAGATTACCGAGTATTGTATGACCGGCAAATGAACCCGGAAGCCGTGGAATACGGCGAGCGACCGCTCAGCAGGGCATATGCCGGTAATACTGGAGCAGAATCATCCCGTGTACAGCATACGCCCTCGGCAATGAACGAGAATAACTCTCGGGAAATGCCGAGCGCTGATAAGCAGCAATATCTCCGCAGTGTTTTGCGGGAAGAGATCCAACGAGCAGGCATCGTACAAAGCAGGACAGTTAGTCCTGTTAGAAAATCGGATTTGGCCGAAGTGATGCGACAGCCCGTACCGCGTCCCAACTACAATGGTAGTAAAGAGGACATAGATAGTTTTATTATCAAATTCGAGCATGCGGCAACCGCAAATCGTTGGGTAACCGATGAAAGAAAGATTACCGAATTGGCGTATTGCCTCAAAGACGATGCCATTATTTGGTATAACGGATTGATAACGTCGACAACACCGCCGACGACCTATAAGGAATGGAAAAAACAGTTAATTGCCCGTTTTGGCGATTCGAAAAGAGCAGTAAATGCCCTCGCTGAATTGGCAAACCGTACCTACAAACCAGGTCAAGAGACTCTGGAAACCTATTATCAGTCAATGATGACACTGCGCGATCGCGCAGGATTTAATGGATCACCGGAACAAGTCGTAAACTTCCTTGTAAAAGGGTTGAAAACCCACGAGAAGTTGCACGATAAAATAGAGATAATGAGACCGCTAACACCAGAACAATTTCTGGAAATAATTCGTTATTTATCGTCAAATAACCCTGAGAAATATGTAATCCCAGTCGGCAACGTCCGGCGTAAACAGGACCGCGATAGCGAGGCAGTGACCGTACGAACTGTACAAGTACAATCGAAGACTTACGCGGCGGCGGCGGCCAGCCCGCCGCGGCCAAGCAGTAAAAACAGTGGAAAACCGAGTTACGGTAGTCGTAACAATAATAATAATAATATTCGCAGTAATATCAGCAAAGCTGAGAGTAATGACAGTCGAATCAATCAGGATGATAACCGCGCGCCGTCTCGTAAGGAGCAATGGGCAAATAACATTAATAGAATACAGGAAGTGACCGATCGGTCACCGGCCCTGCAGAAAACTCTGCGTGGCAACCGAGTGGTGAAGTATTGCCAGCACTGTGATTTGTGCGGGCATTACTTCCGTGAATGTCAGTTTCGCGATAAACTGCGATGTTAAAACCCAACTTACCTGGCCTACCATGATCCAGAGACTGGAAATCGGCGATATGCCGCCGATTTCTATCAGCGCCGTAGCGGCAGTCAATCAGGAAGTGAGCCTAGTTCGCCGGCAAGGCCGAGGAGTAATTCCCGCCAGAGTGCTGGCCCCGTGGAAGATCGGGTACGCCCGACGCCAGGATCACAGTTACCGGATAATAACCCGTTCTTCGGTGTGGCCGATCAGGAAAACGAGGAAGGGCGGTAAATTCCGGCTTTACCGACCCGATTCCGCCCAAACCGCCGGACAAAACCGAAATAGTTACAATCAACGGATTGCGTATCGTTGAACCCGATGAATCATCGGATAGTAGCAATGCTACTATTAACTTCTGCACTGCTGTAATTAATTACAAAAAACCTAGACGCGCACACCCGCTAATTATAAATGCAATTATAAACGGGCGCGAAGCGCCGATAATGATTGACACCGGAGCCGAGACATCCTTGATTTCAAGCGAATTTGCTAATGAAATCCACTCAGCTAAAATACCCTTAGTAAAAGCCTTGCATATCCGCGGAATCGGCGGAGTACGGGGGTTTTTAGTTACTCACTAATGCCGTATAATCGTCAAAATTCGAGATTTCGAAGCTGTACACTCGGTGTATATTAAACCGACTACAGATGAAGTCCAGGTATTACTGGGCCAGGATTTTTTGCAGGACGTGCAGTATAACGTGAAAAATAACAAATTAACCTATCTGGACTACCGTCCAGCGGGAAAACCGCAAGTGCGAATATTTGATGAAATGGCACCTCCTGTAATACAGGCATTACATACCACAGAAATAGTAAATAGCTTCCCGATACCCGTGGCAACGGGAGAATTACAGGTTAATGAACCGATTGAATTAAAGCTAGCGAAAAATGAAATCGTACCAGCTGGGAGCAAAGTCTTTCCGATACCCGTGGCAAAAGCCACAATAAATAATGTAACACAGTTTAAAGAAATTCCCAACCGTAAATCGGTTCTAAAAAAATCGGGAAAATCCGATTGGCCGCAAAGGCTACGTTTCGCCGCCTTTGGGGCGAATATCGAGTGCTGGTTAAAGAAATCCAGGATTTAATCAAAGCAAAAGAAGAAGGTACAAATGTAATGTACCTGTTCATGGATGAAGAAGTACCTGTACCGGGGATTGATTCTGCAAAGGCAGAAGAAATTGTCCGCAATCTAGCGAGACAATACAAAGCGGAATACTCCGCTCTAGAGGAAAAACAACGTCAGTTAAACGAAATATTTAGGCATTTAAAAATACCGCTGCCGTATGTACTACGGACACCTTTGCGCGTATTAACGCAATTAGAACGGCGTAAATTGCCAGTATTGCCGTACCAGTTGAACGAGTGTAAACCGCTCAACAATTACGTTAATGAAACGGATATAAAAACCGTAGCGAACCATAATCGGTCAGTCAGTTTTGCGCCGATGGCGCGGGTAGTTGAATTTTAAAAGACGATCCGCCTATCGTAGTGAGTAATACCCTTAATACTGCCGCTACTAATGAAACTAATAATAATTTAATTAATCAAGCTAGCATCGAAGTAGTACCGGATTCTAATAATTTAATTATCGTAAATGCAGAATTGGTAGGGCCCACTGATTCTGCCGAGATCACTAATGAATCTCCGACTTGGGAATTTTCCCAGTCTCCGAACATTAACCCCACTTACCGCGGTACACGCGCTAAGCCTATCAAAGTATTCGCCGGCGAAAAACTACTAATTAATCCGGGTACTAATTGGGCGACAGTAAATGTCCAATTCGATGCGGATGAGCAGTTCGATACCGACAAATTTATATTTCTTCC